ACTTGTGCATACTTTCCTTTTATTTCAGTTTCGCCAAATCATTAGGCCAACCCAACATGGTTTTATTGCTGGTCGCTCTACTGTTACTAATCTAATCTGTATAACTCATTGTATTTCTGAAGTTTTGGATAGAAGAAGTCAGGTTGTTTTTTACACTGACTTCTCTAAAGCATTCGATAGAATTGATCACAAACTTCTAATAAGTAAACTTTCAGCACTTGGATTTCATGACTCCTTATTAAATATTTTACAGTCATATCTATCAGATCGTTACCTTTATGTTCAGTGCTTAAAAGATCCGGCGTCCCGCAAGGTTCGCTTTTAGGGCCTTTATTATTTCTGCTTTTTATTAATGATATTGTTTGTAATTTGAGCGTCACAAATCTATTGTTTGCCGATGACCTAAAATTTTTATGAAATCTCTAGTTATAATGATTGTTTATTGCTTCAAGAGAATCTTAACCGCTTAAACGAATGGTGCAAAAGAAATAAGTTACCGTTAAATGTTAAAAAATGTAATGTAATGATATTTACTAGAAAGAAAGCACCAATACTATATAATTATAACCTACAAAATTCTACATTAAATCGACCAGAACTGATTAAAGATCTTGGAGTTTTCTTTGATCCAAAATTAACGTACATCGCACATTGAAAAAAAACTGCTTCTGCTTATCGAATTTTAGGTTTTGTTATAAGGAATATGAGATTATTCATATTATTCAATGACTTTTCAACAATGACAATACTTTTCTCTTCGCTGGTTGTGTCAAAATTAGAATATGCTAGTATCTTTTGGAGTCCGATATACTCCAATCACATTAACCATTTGGAAACAGTTCAACGAAGATTTTTTAAATCAGCTTGTCTTTTAAGTGATGGTACCTATCCCATAAAAGAACTTTCTCAAAGTTATTATTTAAACCGTTTCAATACATGTAGTCTTTTAAAAAGAAGAGCAATGCACTCAGTGATATTTCTGTTCAAGTTATTAAATAACAAGATGGATTGTATTTCATGTTTGGAAATGTTAAACTTTCACGTCCCTAGAGTTAATTCCCGAAGAAATCAACTATTCTATCAACAATAAGCACATAGTACTAACATATACAGGGTGTCCCGAAATTAGACGGTCATATTTTAACAGCATAATCTACATCCTAAAATAGTAGTAAAAGTTCATATAAACATAAGTCCGAAAACGTTTCGTTTCCGAGATATAGGGTGTTAAAAGTGAAGTCCTGATGACACTCTTTTGTAAATATTTTCTAAACGTTTAAAGATAACTAAGTGAAATTTGATACAAATACTTACCTTTTTACGCTCTATTTGATGGACCTCAGTTTTGAATCATCTTCATAGGTGGGTAAATTAGGGGGGGCTTAGGGTAAAATTGCTCCAAGTTTTTTTTGTTGACAGTTTTTAATATTTTTGACTATAAAATTTGGAAAACCAATATTTTCTTTATAATAAAGCTACTTTTGTTGCATCTCGCTAGGACGCACCATTTTCAAGAAAAAATCATTTGAAAATTTCATGATAAGTTATTCGAAAGTGTAAACAATAATTAGTAGGCTTGTGAAATCAGAAATTTTATTTTTTTAGAAAATATTTACAAAAATGTGCCATCAGGATTTCACTTGTAACACCCTGTATCTCGAAAACGAAACGTTTTCGGACCTGTGTTTATATGAACTTTTTTCCTATTTTAGGATGTGGATTACGCTGTTAAAATATGACCGTCTAATTTCGGGACACCCTGTATACAAAGCATCGCCTTTATTTCAAATTATCCTAAACTATTTGAACATTGAAGATGATATTGATATTCTTAATTGCTCTGTTGCATCTATTACAAGTATTTTTCTGTCAAATTAATTTGCGCAGTAATTATTAAAGGCGGAAATGGATGCATCCTCTTTTTTACTTTCCTATCTGTATACAGATATGTGTGTGTGTGTTCGTGTGCGTGTGCGCGCGCGTGTGTGTGTGTGTGTGTGTGTGTGTGTGTGTGTGTGTGTGTGTGTGTGTGTGTGTGTGTGTGTGCGTGTCTGTGTATCTTTATGTCGCATAACTCATGAACCGATACACAGAAAAACACCAAATTTTAAACTTAAGCTTTATTCCAGCGTCTAATAAAATGATTAGATTTTGGGCAAAGTCGGAACATCTGGGGGGGTACTTTATAGGTGGTAATTTTTATATTTTATGGAATATATCTGTTATTTACGTTTGGAGAAGAAAATTCTTTAAATAAAAGTTACTTCTAATATAATTATCTATAATTTTTGTTCTTCACAAAATTTTCCTAAAATGGTCCGTATTCGAAAAATTTGACAAAATGTAAAAAAATATTTTTTTATAAAAATTGTTTAAACAAAAGTTGTTTGTAATATAATTCTCTATTTTTATCCTATACATAATTTCTCTAAAATGGACCGTATTCGAGATATATGAGAAAATGTGTAAATTTAGAAATTTGAAGAAAACTCAAAAACGGATAAAGAAAAGAACATTAAATTTTAAACTTAAGTTTGATTTCGGCCTGACGTGAAATGATTAGATTTTGGACAAAGTTGGAACATCTGGAGGGGTACTTTATGGGAGGCCGTTTTTATATTTTATGGAATATATCTGTTATTTATGTTTGTAGAAAAAAATTGTTCAAATAAAAGTTACTTCTAATATTATTATCTATAATTTTTGCTTAAAGTAAAAATTTCCTGAAATGGTCCGTATTCGAGAAATTTGACAAAATGTGCAAAATTCTGATTTTTATGAAAATTGTTGCGATATCGATCTCTATAATTTTTGTTTTTACATGATTTTTCTAAAATGGACCGTAATGGAAAAATTGTAGGAAAAGTGCTAAATTTAAATTTTTCAGTATTTTCGTTTTCAATGAATATCTATAGAAAAATGTTTCGAGGTAGATGTATGTGGAAAATATATATATTTAGTTTATCCTCTAAACATTTATAGAGGTGCTGCAATAGGTTGTACAAAATAACCGGAAAAAGCCTGTGATAAATAGATAGGAAAGTAATGTGTTGGACACATCAGATTTTTTTATATAAGTTTTTTTTCAGGATGCACCCGTGTCTGTTTAAATTCGTATTTATTTAGATTTAAGTTTATATGTATATAGATAAGAATAATCATTTATGTTAATTCCCAATTCTTGTAATATTCCTTTCCTTATCCTGTAATTAGGGGCAACCCTGATGGATATTGTAATAAAATAAGTAAAAAAATTAAAATAAGTAAAAAAATAAAAATAAATAAATAAATATTTGCCGATTGTTATTTTAATGTAGATTGTACTATTTTTTGTACTATTTTTTTACAATTTTTTTTAAATTTTCCACTGTTATTTTTCCTTCTGTGGAATTGTTACGCACTAATTTGTCACACTATAATTTGACCCGACTTGTCTTATTATATAATGTATCCCAGCAAATTTTTCCGGTGGAATTGTCACGTGCCAACAAGTCACGGATCCCTATTTTCTGCATGAATTACAGAATGTGTAGTAAGTATTATGTAAGCCACAAACTTTCTTGAATGTATGTAACGCCAGACTTCCCCAAAACACAGTTTAAAAATATTACAACGGCACAAAAAATGTTTAATGTCATCCACATAATTCACTTAAGGATTAATTGTTTTTTTTTACAACTGCAATCTATTAGTCAAAATGAATAATGATTCAACATACTCATAACTCTTGTTATCTAAGGCATAGGGTGCCAGTTTCTTTTCTCGAACGACGACCTTGTATATCAGCCTTGCCCAAAAAAATTTGCCTAACTTTAAATGTGAATGAACATCAAGTTGTGTCATCATCAAGATCTGTATAAATTTGGTGCCAAATAAAAAAGTTTACCAGACATCAACTTGAGAGAAGTGCAGCAAGATGAAGTCTATTGTAAGTAAATATAATGTATTATCGTTTGTTGAACTATTATTTTTATAAAAGAATGAGCAAAATCAATTACATTATCAAATAGATTATATTTGAATAATATAGTATAAACTTTTTATAATATAATTTCATAATTATTGTTGCTTAAAACCATTATTTGGTGCCTAGCGATATATTTTTCTGAATAAAATAATGTTTTTGTTTCATTTTTTATACATTTAATTAAAAGAGTTTTTGTTTTATTCTTTTGAATTTTATAAAATATTCATGTAGGCTGAATGCTTTTTCTACAATTTCATTTGTATACAAAATTGTTAAATTTTTTATAATTTTTAAAAATGTGTAGGTATATACAGTATGTCTAATTTTATAAAAAACGTTGTTCTTCATAAAAAATTCAGCATGATCTAAAAGATATGCACAACTTTTGTGAAAAATAATTTTCTTTTCTAAAATTAGTAATAAAATTTTCCCATATGACGCAAACTTAGGTAGACAAACAGTATGTGGATTTAATTCATAATTTAGAAACATTTCTTGAGGATAACTCTTTATTTTTATTGGCTTTTGGTTTTATTTACAATCCAAACACAATCTTATGAACTGTGAATGCTGCATAAATGCCTAAGAGGCACATTCACAATTTTTTTTAATCCTGACGTTTTTTTAATGTAAGTGAAGTAGATATACTAAGATTTATATAAAAAAATATTACCCTTATAATATAAAAAATAATATTCTTTTATATTGGCAAAGAAATCGTAAATTTGAATTAAACTATATTAAAAATTTTATGCCAAAAAAAATGTATTAGTTGTTAGCATAGCGTTCCCGTTCTAAGATCCGGAGTTAAAATCCCTGCTAAAACTATTTTTTTTTTAGATTATTCAATTTTATATCTTAGTAAAATTCAAATATATTTGTTAAGTATTTTAATTTGATAAAATTTAATCAAATTTCTAACTAAAAATTCACAAAAAAGCTCGACCTAGTATGATGGACACAATATGATTTCAAATTTGATTAGAATTTTCTCGATCTCATCAATTTTTATTCACAGATTATTCTTTCCGCGTTGGTAGCAGTGACCCTAGCAGGCACCATCCCCGAAAAAGTTATCCCCATCCTCAGACAAGAATCTGAAGTTGGCATTGACGGAAAATACAGTTCTTCCTTCGAAACAGGTAACGGTATCTCAGCTGAAGAACATGGAAATTTAAAAAACGCTGGAAGTGAAAATGCAGCGGAAGAAGTAGTTGGTAGAGTAGCATATCAATCACCCGAAGGCATTCCAATCTCATTGGAATATATTGCTAATGAATACGGATTCCAAGCTAAAGGAGATCATCTTCCAGTACCTCCCGTAGATACTAACACCCCTCCACCAATACCACCAGCAATTCTAAGATCTTTAGAGTATAACGCTGCTCATCCTGAAGAACATCATACTGATCAAGGCCAGGAACAGGGCCAATACATACCATAAACTGAACTGAGCTGCTTTATTTATAAAAAAAAAATAAAAAATAAAAAATATTATCTTACATGAAGTTTTATTTAAAATTTTTGAAAAATCATCTAGAATTAATTTGCATGGTCCAGGACCTAAAAATGAAATTAGTTGTCAAATTTTTTTCAGTCATATAACGAATTTTTCGAAAATATAGAGTTACTAACTATTAACCCTTGTTTTTGACAATTTAAAAAACTGTTATAAATAAAAGTTATTTAAACTTGAAAAATAGGTTCAAATATTCAGTCATGTTTCTCATTCTCTACCCTGCATTGATAATAATATATTTCTATATGAATATAATAATTATATCTCTATAATATGAACATAATTATAATTGTATAAAATATATAATTAATCTTCAATGAGTACTCACTTTGTATTTTATATACCAAGTTATCTTCAAATACTTGACAGCTAGAATGGCTAATACAGTCTTTCAAACAAGGCTGTGAATCTTCAACCTAGACGTATATTTTTATTTATGTCTTCAATTTAATTTTTTTTCCATGTGAAAATGCTTGCGGCCCAAACCATTCCACTTATAATCCCAAAGTGGCCCGAAATAGATTAACAAGAAATGAGAAAACCACAAAATCTGTCAGTCACAGCATCTTTTTCAAAAATGTTAAAGGTAAAAGTGCTTTGATGCTTAAACATTTTTGAAAAATCTAATTAATTAAATATACCGTGATAGATAGACTTTGTGTGTTTTTAATTTCATTCCACTTATATTATTTCTCATGTTGAGTATTTATATACAGAGTGTTCCGCATATTTACCGACACAGAATCCCACATAACATCAATGTTCGAGTAATATACTAAGAACGTTCTGTCTATGTTCTTTTTGGTATGTACTTATAGAACATACCAAGTATATACTTTGAAAGTAAATGCTGAGTACGTGCTTTGAAAGTATATTCTAAAAAGTATATACTGGGCACGCGAAAATTAAAAAAATAATAGCAATTAAAAACAATTAAGTGAAAAAGGGAGACGAGCAGGTGCTTTCGGGTCAAATCCGCATTCAAGAGGGCTCCTTTTTTTTCAGCAAATATTTTCTAATAAAATTTAACCATAAATTAATATTTAATAATTCAAATAAATTAGAAACCCCCGATTCCAATTTATTTCAACGGAAACCTATAAGCAAATATTTTTTCATAAAATTTAACCACAAATTAACCATTCATAATTCAAATAAATTGAAACACCCCAAATAAAAATATTTATTTTTATTCTTTTTATTTAGTTAATTAAATTTAGTGTAAGTATAACATGACATTCTTAGAAGATACTACAAATCATATACCCAGCATGTACCTCATGTTCTGAGAACGTTCTAAATGATTACAGGTAAGAATTAACACCAAATACATGTAAAAACATATTTATTTATTAATAGTTATTTATACATATCTACATACATACATATCTACATGAATTTTTTCCAGGTGTCGATCTGATAATTCGCTAGCAAACGCACTAATGTTGAGTTTTCAGGTCCAAAATCATTCACAACCTTAATAGAAGAGAAGAATGACAACACATTTTTTGATCTCGCTTGAGGTTGTTAGCTAGTAGGTCTATTAAAAGGGCATTGTAGATTTAACAAACATATGTATAATATTGCTCTAACAGAAGAGACCTTGTGCCGATTCTGTCAGGAAGAGCAAGAAACTGCAGGACACGTATTATGCTACTGCGAATGTATAGCATGACTGAGATTTGGAGACTTGGAGAAGAAAAACCAAGGCCTTCTAGCTACGCCGGAGAACTACTTCAGAGTCTATGGATTCTATTACAAAAGATCGAATTAGACAAGGTACTCTAAAGAACCATTACAGGATATCTTCAATAGATCTGAAAAGGTCGAGGCTGGGGAGGCCATATGGCCCACAGTCCCAATTAAATTAATCAGAACAGCGTCATTTCATCAGTTGGTTAATTTACTATTAAATTTTATCATATAGGTTTGCTTAGATTTGTGTGCATAATGAGTTTATGTGACGCCAGTTTGTCGTAACTCCGGTGGGAACGAATTTGGGTGGATAAAAAAAGAGTGGTTGATTAATTACGTGCCTTAAGAAATTATCGGAATTTTGTGTTGATATCATGTCAAAATGTTTTAATAATTATTACTTCGTGAAAAAAAAATGTTCTATGTCGGTTTTTAGGTCGAATTCTCAGGGAATAACTATTTATCTTTTCTTATTATTGGACTTATTACATGTACTATTAGAGACCCTGCAAACAAAAATACTGCTTCTATTTATTAGACATCATAGATAGGATTTAATTATCTATAAGATTTTTCGGTAAATGAAGGAATTTGAATTTAATAAGAATGCAACTTTTCTTTAATACAATGGAATTAATAGATTATGAAGGTACCTGGGTGAGGTAGGTTACAATACTATACCACGAATTTTAATTTTAAAAATACCTCCGTTACTTTTTCTTGAAGACTTAAGAATTACACGGTGCGATACTAACAATAGACTTTGCACAATGGTACTTTTGCGTAATGAAGGAGGAATCAGTTTCCGTTGAGAAGAGTACTTCGTCCACGCCACTGAAGATGGTTGCCGCAGTTACAGCTGAAACGTTTGGTAATAATAACCAGGAAAGACTCCGGCATAACAGCCCAGAAACAAACAATTACATTGACGCCGGCCGTGAAAGCCTACATTCTTACAATGGTAGTTTTTTTATTAAATTATGTAAAGATATTCTTAATTTATCCTTCATTTGTATAAGTCAAATAAAAATTTATTCTATAATAAATATAAATAATTTTCTAAAAACGCTTTTTCGAGTATTTAAATCGTTTCTTAAGTTTTGCGGTATCTATGAGTTATTTCCACGGAATTCCAGGGTTTTTTGAAACACTGCTTTTAGAATATTTTTTCTATACGATCACTATCGAAAGTAGGCTTTTGCGCCTTAAAAAATTACTGCAAAGTACAAGCCGCCACTGCTGAAAAGTTGATGTTCTGTGCGAGCTGTCATAATTTGACAGTATTGGCCCTCTTAAGCGGAAAGTAACTTTGACCCACGCCTAATTTTATTTATAATAAAATAGATCCAGTAGTTATTTTAACACAGACTATAGCATAAATAAATATTTTAATTGACTTCCTAATATTTTAAATCATCCAACAGTATTTATGTGACATAATCTGTATACTCATCAATGATACTCATACACTTAGCTAAGCTCATATATAGTAATAGGTAGGCAACACAACATACAAACAACTTATGAATCAAGTATGTCATGAAGTATGTCGATTGTCAAAGAAAACAGCAGTTAGTGTATTGCAATGAGATATAATAAGGAGGAGATGTTAAGACAATGGTAAAGTGTCCGCACCATCGAGTTAGTATAGAGATTAGATGACATACCATATAAATATTCAAAATAATGTATACTGACATAAGGATGGTAACAAGATGGCGCCTTGAGTAGGTTCGGACTGAGAATTTTTTGGGTTGTTTAAAGTGGTCGTAGTAATTTTGATATGTATAAAAGAATAAAAATGAAATAACTAAAATTTAAAGTGTTCATTTTCCTTAAAGCATTTACACAAATGTATTGGACAAGTCATAAAGCCGGAATGCTAAATTTAAAATATTTATTATCCTTAAGACCTTAAGATATTTACAAAAAAGTATTGATTAAGCCATAAAGCATAAATGCTAAATATTATGAGACTAATAATAAAACTATTCCCAAATAAGTATACAGGGTGTTTAAAAAACATGCGATATCGCTCGTAGGGTTGATTCATTACACAAAAATAAAATAAATCGTACCTATCAACATGGGACCGCAGATGATTTGATTGAAAGGTGCAGGGTGTTTAAATTTTAAAATCAGTCAAAAAAAAATTATGTACAATCTCGTAAAACACAAGATACCATTATGTCCTAAAGGTCTTTCAACTAACACTATATTAAAATGAAATGAACTCAATAAAAACCGAAAAATAAAATACATACCACAAAATTTATAAGTAAATGTCACAAATGACATTATTAGGATGGTAACAATATGGCGCCGGTGATACCGATTCAGTACTCGAGTAGCGACTCCTCTTCCTACTACCTTCATGGTCCATACCTTTGAATTATACTTTTACGTCATATTATGTCAAACTGGAGCTTGTCAGTTTTATAGAATAAATGCTATTTTTTTTCATTCCGTCAGTCTTCAAATATAAAATTATTCAAGTTCAAATAAATTAAAATACCTACTACTCGAGTTGCCATTGTTATCACACTTTTCCGTCACTCGAAGTGTGTCCATCTGTCATATCGCAAAATAGTATGTTTGTCGTCTCTACTTTATTCTATCTCGATGGTGTATTGTGGCTGAAATTTTGTAGATAATTTTGTGTGCCCCACAATTAATTGTATTAATATTTTATTACACTTTTAAAAACAGAAATATTATAGATGAAAGCGATACCGATTTTTCAAATACACCTCTCCACAATTTACTGAGACGGCACAACGTCTTTAAATCTACTTCCAGAGAAATCCAAATTAAAGTACATAAAATTATTTATTTTATTTTGTTGTGTGTTCGTAGAATAATTGCTACTTTCTGCCATTAATACACACATATCTGATAAAACAAATGTCATCCACATAATTCTCTGAGGGATGCATTGCTTTTTTACGACTGGAATATAATAGTCAAAACGATTTATGATTCGAAAAATACTGATAACTCTTCTCGTCTAAGACATGGGGTATCAGTTTCGTTTCTTGAACGACGACCTTGTTTCATAGCCTTCTCCAAAAAAATTTGCTTAACTTTAAATATCAATGAACATAAATTTGTGTCATCATCACATCTGTATAAATTTGATGCGAAATAAAAAAATTTACCAGAAGTCAACTTGAAGAGTACAACAGCAAGATGAAGTCCATTGTAAGTAAAAATAATGTATTTATTATTATTTTTATAAAAAAAAGGAAAGATTGTTTAAACCTAAACTTTTTGTAACTGTAAAACATTATTTGGATAGCTATATATTTTTCTAAATATTTATTTTTTTATATATACATTTAATTAAAATATTTTTTATTCTCTCGATTTTTATAAAATAAAAGGTATAGGCCGATTGTTCTTTCCAAAATACACTCACTTTTAAAAGTATTTTTCAAAAATATTTTTTTTCTGACGATTAGAGCAACTTATTTACAATTTGTCTCATTTTCGTGTAAGGGTTTAATTAATATTTAAAAGTTAGGTTGCAAACTTAAATAAAAATAATTCTAATTCTAATATTTGGGGGTACAAGATTTTTGAAACTGATTGTATGATTTATGTATTAAATATTAAAATATATTTTTAATATTTAATATTACAATATAAATTTAATGAACTGTGCATTCTGCATAAAAGCCTAAGACGCACTTTCGCAAATTATTTTAATCCAGACATTTTTTATTTAAGTAAAGTAGATATTACTTTTTTATAAAAAAATATTACCTTTATACTAAAATTGAATATTTCGTTATTGCTTAATACTATTAGATGACATCACAACTGCCTTTTTCCCGCTCGTTTCTTAAGATTTAAATGAACTTCTCTTTTTATATTTTAAAAATATTTTTTAAAATTTTTTTTTTACTAATCTTATATGTACGCATCTTCCATTTATTCACTTTAAATACGTCTTTTTTCAATAAGGTAAGTAAAAAGAGATCACTACATTTATAGTTTGTTTGTTTTGTTATTTTTTTAAGTACTAAAAACGTTATAGATAGTCCTTCTACAATAAAATTGTTAAATGTTTCTTCTAACATAATATTATATAGAATCATTTTAATTTTAATAATACCTTAATATCTATCACTACTTATCACAAATTTAGATTATTTATAAAATCTTTTCGAAAATCAATGACCTGATTAGGTATAGTAGGGCTCAAAACTATAATTCCGACTTTCACAATTTCGGCGATATCAAAGAGGAGCTTGAAAAGGGCCGGATTGGTTAGCAATATATATATTATATATTCATTAACAATTAATTTTGTATGTACACATTATATGTTTTACATTTCAAAATTCCTAAGTGGTTTAATATATTAAAAAATATTTATTTTATTATTGAAAATGAAATTCGAGGTAGAGTAATAAAAAATACTAATGATGATCGTTAGGGTTGCCAGACGTCACGCTTTTGGCGTGATTGCCACGCTTTTTGACTTACCTGTACGCTTTTAATGCAAATTCCACGCTTTTTAAGCAGAGGAGTTGGATTTATAAAAAAATAGAGAAATATCCGGGTAATAGACCCTCGTTTTTACGAAAAATTAGCTGAGGACCTTTTTTTTTTAGAAATGTTCACAAAAAGTGGACCTGATTATATATAACTGCTCTATTCGTTTTACAAAAAATAGGCTGAGGACTTTTTTCTTTGTTTTTTTTTATAAATGTTACCTGTGATTATATAAAAATGCTCTACTCGTTTTAAGAAAAATGAACTAAGTGCCTTTTTTTTTAGAAATTTTCACAAAAAATGGAGCTGATTATAAAATGCTCTATCGTCACGGTTGCCACGCTTTTCACTTCCGGAAATGTGGCAACCCTAATGATCGTAGCAATACAAATTTAATTAATCAAAAAATCTTATTTAAATAAAATAAAAGGTCAAGTTTAACGTTTCTTCTTCGAAATCAAATCTAATATAATTCTGGGTTTATATTTAAACAACTACTGATTGGCAAAGTAACGCATATACTTTAATTTTTGACGGTATTATTCATTTTTAAGATAAAACTGAAACAAGTCTATTTTTGTTTTTAAAACAGAACTCTGCCTTAACAATTTTACCTCTTACGTCAACCCTTCTAGGTCGTCTAAGCAGAGACGTATTCAGATTATAGTCGTGAGTGCAGAATTACAAGTTTTAATTAAGTTATATACCAACAATTTGTTTCAATAAATAATTCTTGACTATAAATTCTTATTTGCAGATTCTCCTTTTCGCGTTGGTAACAGTAGCACTAGCTGGCACCCTCCCAGAAAAAGTTATCCCCATCATCAGCCAACAATCTGAAGTTAGCATTGACGGAGGATACAGTTCTTCATTCGAAACCGGCAACGGCATCAGATCTGAAGAACAGGGAACTTTAAAAAACGCTGGAACTCAAAATGAAGCACAAGAAGTAGTTGGTAGAGTAGAATACCAGTCACCCGAAGGCTTTCCAATCTTCTTGGAATATATCGCTAATGAATTTGGATTCCAACCTAAAGGAGACCATCTTCCAGTACCTCCCGTAGATACTAACACTCCTCCACCAATCCCACCAGCAATTCTTAGGGCTTTAGAGTACAACGCTGCTCATCCTGAAGAAGATGATTCTGTGCAACACCAGGCACAGGGCCAATTCAGGCACTAGGCTGAAATACTGAATGACTGAGCTCCTTTATTTATAATAAATAAACGTTATTATTTTATATGATGTTTAATTTAAATCTTCCTGAAGAGTTCGAATTGAGGTTAGATATTGAAATTAGAAATGTCATTACTTGAAAATAGAAGAAAAACTAAATTACTTTACTAAATTTATTCATAATTAAATGTGAATTTTTAGTTAATACTTTTCTAACTGTATACAGGGTGTCCGGGAAATGTGGTGTGTCTCTCGGATACAGATAGAACATTAACAAATAAAATGACAAGTTCCCATAAATTTTTTTCCAAGCGGCCCTCCGTACGGAGATACGGCCTCCAAAAAGACGACACTGGAAATCATTTTTTCATGAATAACTTTCAAACTACGTAATATAATTTAATGAAAATTTAATATGATAAACAGTAATAAGAACCTCTTAAAATACTTTTTCTACGCCCATGTCAGTAAACGTTAAAAATCGCACAGTCAACATTCCTTGTAAATGACATTTAACAATAACATGCACGTAATGAGATCTCATAACATACACGTGCTTTTTGATAAAAAAAACTTAAATTTCTTAGTTTAATTAAATTGCAATCAAATTTTTATCTACGTAAGACTTTATTTGGTTCATTTACATAAATTTAGTCAATTTAAAAACATAAAAACTTTTAGCAATAGCGAGATACATTTTGGATTAAAAAAAGTATGCCCATAAATGTCGGTAACACATACATTATACTAAATATTGTATTTGAACATTTTCTTAACTTTACCTATGAATATATCTGTTAGTAGTGAAAGTTATGAGATTATGAGCACTCCACCAGAGATTTTAGAAAAAGCTCAAGCTGCCACACATAATTTGCTACCGCTAAAATCCAAAAAAAGTTACGAAATTACCTATCGAAAATTTATGGATTAGCGACACAAGCATATGTCCTTTATTTAATAGAAGAAAATAAGTGGGCGTAGAAAAAGTATAGTACATTACACGAGTTGTAAGCCCACTACGCACTTGTAAAATTTACGCGGCTTCGTGCGTAAACTTTTTCACTTCGGCGCGTAATGGGTTACTTACAACTCTTGTTACGTAATATACTATTCTTTAAAACATAATTAGCTTGTTTAGTTTACTAGGGGCGGACTAAGTTGTACAGTTTAATGCTTATAAAAAAAATCGATACCTTGAACTTTAAGCTAAAAGGTACTCTTTTTCATTGTCGATAAAATGAACCGTTTTCGAGAAAAAATAATTAAAGAATTAATGTTTTATTTTTATTAAAAAATTAATCTCCCAAAATAGCTTATTTCAAATTGGTAAATTCTGAAAAAACATTATTATGTCATGTATTATGTTATCATCCTGAACACACTAAAGCTTGTAACGATTGAACCTAAATTCGCTAACTAGAAATAATCAATTAAAAACTTTATAAGTGGGTTCAACATGTGCTCCGTGAATAGAGGACTGCTGTACTAGCCACAACAACCCAGCATTGTTCCCTCTCACATCACAATGAAATGTGATTCTCTGTAAAAGTTCATCCCTAGTATCAACCAGAGAGGAATACACCAAGATTTTGAGATGACCCCACAGGTAAAAATCCATTGGCGTTAGGTCGGGAGAACGTGGAGGCCAGGGCTATCCAACGGTTTCGATATACGTTATACAGGTGGTTCCGTACAGCGACGCTAAAGTGAGGTGTGGCTCCATCATGCATAAAATACATACTTCGGCGGTTTTCAAGTGGCAAATGCTCTATTGAATCCAGAACAGCGTTCTGAACGAACTGTAAATAAATTTCACCATTCAATCGTGGCGGCAATACCCATGGTCAAATCAAAAAATTGCCGATTATTCCTGCCCAAACATTAATTGATTGAAACTGATGTTGATAATGATAAACAACAGAGGCATGAGGATTTTGATCAGCCCATGCATGCGAGTTATGTAAATTTACAATCCCATTTTTGGTAAACCCTGCTTCATGGGTAAAATGAAGTTCTAATGAAGTTTCCATTTGTCCGTTGCTTATCTAACAGGAAACTTACATTAATTTATTTCAAAATGGATCCAAAACGGTCCTGAATAACTGTATAACTCTGCGGGAGAAATGTTCAAGTTGAACGTGAAAGGGATACAATTGGTTTTCCCACCTGAGTTACGTCATTATTGCATCAAATTTTAAACGTTTACCAGAACTCAACAGCACACATTTTTTTTGTTTTTAATTCTAGTGGTAACATCTATGGCATAAAGGTGGAATTGCTTCTTCTACGGTGTTATCCATGATATTTTAGGTTCTAAACGATTTTCCTAACATCTTTTTCACAATCTATCTGATGTAACACTATGAAAGATTTAAATTCTGGATTTACAGCAGTTTTGAAATTGATGAAAAAAATGCCGTCACAATGGAGTTTCAGAGATTTTTTTACATATTTTATTTACCCCAGCACAAACGCCTATACCTACTCATGTAACATAAAAAACAATAGAGAAAAACATTGGTTCATTCCACTTGTACCACATTGGCATTGTGCACGTTACAAGTAGACTCTGTTATTACAATAATTACTGCAGGACAAACAATAATCGTGGATTTAGGCCAAAGAAGTAGAGATGGTAGCATTATAAGGTACCGTATGCGCATCAATCACGAGTGTAGAAATTATGCATAATTCAACTTTCCGCTCTTACACACGTAAATGACAAGGAGAGGTTGCCCTAAAGCACTGTAAACAAATTACAGGCTTGGCTTTGTTCAACGATTATGTTCATGTTCAGCTGTTTTTTGTTTGTGTTGTAAGCTATTTTGACGTCAATTCTTTGTTATGTTACTTACATTTGTGATTTTTTGTGCTTTAAGTTCGATTTAGTATTAAATTATACTTGTTAATTATTTTCCGACGCACTATTTTATAATTGTTGCACAAAATGTTCTTAAACCGTCCCTGAATCTTGTTTACAAAATGTGCACAACGAAATTGTGCATAGTATCTATAATTTTTCAAGAGAGAGGTCCGACACGCCCAACATAGGGCGCGGCCATTTTGAACCCTGTGACACAGTTTACAGCTAAAGAATCAGATCGCTCACTCTGCGTCGGCACTTTTGATCTCAATGTTTCAGTTTATACACTGTGCAATTCAGATAATACAATATATGACAACCGCCTATAATAAAACAGCAGTCTTCTGCGTATCCTGAATTTGTATCCCTGGAGGATGTTATTTTGGAACTTTCAACTGGTCCGAGTGAGATAACTGATTCTTTAGCAATAAACTGTGACTCCAAAATATCAGGTACGTTTTAATCATCCGCTTCTGCTTCCGGAATTGTCGTTTTAGTCGTTTTAACCTGTCAGATTAAAACAAGAAAACTGACAATTCCGAAGCAGAAGCGGATGATTAAAACGCACCTATTAAAAATATTGCGCCAAGATGTAGGCAACACGTAATAAGGGTTCAAAATGGCGGAGTTTTCAATCTCCTTTTAAAAGGCACTCAGAAAGCTGCGCAGTGCGACCATTCTCCGTATAGTAAAAGAAAATCAAAGTATGTGATACTGAATCACGTGATCAAAGATTTTTTACATCTCAGATGCATCCGATGTGGATTCTCAAACGCATCAATAATAGAAGACTTCTATGGGAAGTGCAACCAACTTAACAAAGTAAAATAGACACTAATGACATAAGAAATCGGGTCACATAAAGAGGCTGTTTTTTAGTTTACTTTTTGGTTTTTCTTATCTGCTTTTATGCCATTTACATACCATGGTGTACCCGTAAGATAAAAAATACTTTTTAGTTTAGGGTATTTTACATTTAAAGGTTGAAAAAATTTGTCAGTGTCAGCTGTCAATTATAATGATGATAGAACACAGGCGTAACCATAGATGGGCATAGCGTAACTAGTTTTGTATATGGTTGTATAGTGTATGGAACTTGTATTTGTAGTAGCAGCATTTTTGCATTTGAAATAAGTATATAAAACCAATTGAAAAAATGTTTAAAGGAACCGGGAGAAACACAAATGGACTATTAACAATAAAAAAATAAGTCGCAATGCTACGCTTATGTTTTGACATTATCGACAGCTGATATTGACAAATGTATTCAACCCTTGAAAGTAAAATACCCTAAAATAAAAAGTCTTTTTTACGTTACGCGTACAACATGGTACGTAAATGGCATAAAAATATATGAGAAAAATCAAAAATTGAACAAAAAACAGCCTCTATATGTGACTCGATTTCTTATGTTATTAGTGTCAATTTTATTTTGTCAAGTTGGTTGCATTTCCCTTGTATAGAAGTCCTCTATTCGCGATTTAAGCTTAGTGATACGCCCTCTGGAGGAAATTTGTTGAAGGTCCCTATAAGTAGGATATCGTTGTGTTGCCAGAAGTAGCAAAATTTTGCTGCGTCGTCGGATTTTAGCTCATAATTCACTTCATAATATAAGAATAAGTTTAGTAAGATTTTTAAATAAGTTCGTCAATAATAAACGATTGGTACCTGAAATTAATGTCCTTTAAACCACATAATAAAACATGTCCTGGGTTTAGTAAATACATATTTCCAGATGTTCTTGTAGCAACCAATAGGGGAATATTTCCAATAAATTAAGTCATACACATGATAAATATTATATTTATGACGAAAGCACGAGACTTAAACCTTATATTAACACTAAATGAAACTCAAAAACACTGTTACAATGAGAATATTATCTAAAAACAGTTAAAAAATCACAAATACAAAATCCGCCCAAAACAAACACATGTAAATAAACAAACATCCTACTTATAAGTGACAAATGACAGGCGCGCGAAAATTAATTTGAATCGCGAATGCGCTGGTTCAGTGATGATGTAATTATGGTTCCACTGACAATTAAAGTGACAGTAGATTTTTTGAGTGCGTTTTGTTCGTTGTGTTTACCTAAATTATATCTTTTTTCACTTTTATAAATATATTCCTAAAGTAAGTAGATAACATGCTTTAAATATACAATCGTTTAGTTACCAATTTACATACCTTTCAACTATTTTTTTGACCTGTAAACAATATTTAGAAATAAACAAAAACGTTGTTAAAAGTTTGGTTAGTGGAAACAAAATGACATCACACTGAACTAGCGCATTGATTTCGGCAAATGAACATCAGAAAAGTGTTGCCAACTTGAGCTGACTACTATTTCCCTCCTAGCCTCAGTGACTCCTTTATCCATAAACTGGGTCTATGTCGTAACCCCCTTAGATATACCTGCCCTTCTTTTTCAACGCCCTATTTATAATCGACTTTATATTGAATAATTTATAAAGTCAATAAGACAAGAAATTTTAGATTATTTATTTTAAAACAAACAACTTAAAAAAATTCTATGAAGAAACACATTTCTGACACACAAAAATAACATGAAACAACAACTTCTGCAAAATAATTTTGCGGTCTGTCAAATTTACTCAAATTACCCCAGTCGAAACTGGGTTGCCACCTTTTTGAAAAGTGAATAATAGTAATTTACGTTACAAGACCGGAAAGTAGTGTTTTGCAGGTCGAAACTCGCATGACGTACAATATTTTTTTAAGTCCGACACTTCGATGTAAACAAAAAATACTAAATACTAGATAATGGATACAACTGCATAAACTAACCAAATTTTAATTTTTTTGTCACATAATTCAAAATCTGAATCTATATTTTTAAATTTGTGAAAACAAGTTAGATATAAACAACAAATTAAAAACCAAAGAACTGTCACTTGGCAATAAATCGGAACGTTGTTACCATAGTAACGAAATCAAGGCAGACTGTATTATCAAACAGCGATCGCCTATTTTCCGGTCTTGATCCGCAAAACGTTATTTTCTTGAAGAAAAATTGTTCAGAAAGTGTATATTTTCTGGTCGGTCTTAAAAAAATGACATTTTTCGAACGACGACCTTGTTGCATAGCCTTCTCCAAAAAAATTTGCCTAACTTTAAATATCAATGAACATTTGTGTCATCATAAAATCTGTATAAATTTGGTGCGAAATAAAAAAATTATCAGACGTCAACTTGAGGAGTACAACAGCAAGATGAAGTCCATTGTAAGTAAAAATAATGTATTTATTATTTTTATAAAATAAAGAACAAAATCAATTACATCATGAAATAGACTGTTTGAATATAAACTTTTTTTAACTGTAAAACATTATTTGAATAGCTACATATTTTTTTTTATACATTTAATTAAACTATTTGTTATTCTCTCGATTTTGATACTATACAGGTATAGTCCAATTGTTCTTTCCAAAATACACTCACTTTCAAAAGTCTTGCACCCGCTTGTATTATTCAAAAATATTTACACTTATTGACAATCTAAATTTAATGAACTGTGAATTCTGCATAAATGCCTAAGACGCACATTCGCAAATTATTTTAATCCAGACATTTTTTATATATAAAGTAGATATTAGTTTTTTATAAAAAAATATTAATAAAATGGAATATTTAATTATTGCTTAATACTATTAGATGACATATAAAACAACTGCCTTTTTCCAGCTCATTTCCGAACTCCTTTTAATTATTTTAAAATTAATTTTTTAATTTTTTTTACTAATCTTATACGTACGCACCTTCCATTTATTCACTTTAAATACATCTTTCTTCAATGAGTTCCTACGTCTTTTTTTCTCTATTTCTACCCTTAGCACTACATTTATAGTTTGTTCGTTTTGTTATTATTTTTATAAGTAATGAAAACGTTATAGATAGTCCTTCTACAGTAAAGTTGTTAAATGTTTCTTCTAACATAATATTATATATAGAATCATTTTAATTTTAATAATACCTTAATATCTATACCTACTTATCACAAATTTACATTATTTGTAAAATATTTTCGAAAATCAATGAACTAATTAGGTATAGTAGGGCTCAAAAATGTAATTCCGACTTTCACAATTTCGGCGATATCAAAGAGGAGCGTGGTTAGCAATACATATTATATATTCATTAACGATTAATTTTGTATGTACAAATGTGTACATATAATGATATGTTTTAAATTAAAGGTCAAATTGAACTTTTCTTCCTCTAATTCAAACGTAATATAATTCTGGGTTTATGTTCAAATACCTACTGATTATATAGTGCGTTCACAAAGTAACGCATACATTAATTTTTGACGTTATTATTTATTTTTAATATAAATCTGAAACAAGTCTATTTTTGTTTTTAAAACAATTTTACCTCTTACGTCAACCCTCTTAGGTCGTCTAAGCAGAGTCGTAGTCAGTTTATAGTCGCGTGTGCAAAATTACAAGTTTTAATTAAGTTATATACCAAAGATTTGTTTCAATAAATAATTATTGACTATAAATTCTTATTTACAGATTCTTCTTTCCGCGTTGGTAACAGTAGCACTAGCAGGCACCCTCCCAGAAAAAGTTATCCCCATCATCAGCCAACAATCTGAAGTTGGCATTGACGGACGATACAGTTCTTCATTCGAAACCGGCAACGGCATCAGATCTGAAGAACAGGGAACTTTAAAAAACGCTGGAACTCAAAATGAAGCAGCAGAAGTAGTTGGTAGAATAGGATACCAGTCACCCGAAGGCTTTCCAATAATTTTGGAGTATATCGCTAATGAATTTGGATTCCAACCTAAAGGAGACCATCTTCCAGTACCTCCCGTAGATACTAACACTCCTCCACCAATCCCACCAGCAATTCTAAGATCCTTAGAGTACAACGCTGCTCATCCTGAAGAAGATGATTCTCAGCAATACCAGGCACAGGGCCAATTCAGGCACTAGGCTGAAATACTGAATGACTGAGCTTCTTTATTTATAAAAAATAAACGTTATTATATTATATGTATGTTCAAGTTCAACATGAAAGAGATACAACTTATTTTCCCATCTGAGTTACGCCATTATTGCATCAAATTTTAAACGTTTACCAGAACTCAACCACAGACATTTTTTTTTAACTTCTAGTGTCATAAAGGTTTAATTCCCTCTTAACACGATGTTATCCATGATATTTTAGGTTTTAACCGTTTTGCCTAACACCTTTTTCATAATCTATCCAATGTAACACTATGAAAGATTTAAATCCTGGATTTACAGCATCATCCAGTTATGAGGTTGCCGCCACCCAGCATAAACGCATATACCTACTCATGTAACATAAAAATAAACTGGAAATAAATTGGATCATTTGGTATGTAAAATAGTAAAAAATGTTTTTAGTTTTTATTCCACTACATGGATAAAACACAATAGAGAAAAACATTGGTTTATGGTTCATTCCACTTGTACCACATTGACATTGTGCACGTTAAAAGTAGAGTCTGTTTTTATAATAATAATTACTGCAGAACAAACAATAATCGTGGATATGAAGACTAGATAGAAGGAGGCGAATCGGCAATGATCAAATTTCTGTCATTCTTTTTATAAAATTCGCTAAATTAACTGTAGTTGGCAGGTCGAACGTGACTGCCGTTAATTTTCTATATAAATCAATGTAAAATAAAGTGATTTTTTAAAAAATTGGTGAAAAAAATTAAAATAATGTGAAAAAAGTACCTGAGTACAAGTAACATGCGTGACAAAAAACATTAAAGCAAGATTTACTTCGTTCCAAATTGTAAAACAGGATACAAATCAGATGTAAAATGAAAGAAAACACAAGGAGAAATCAATTCAATATCTTTTTAAAGCTTCTAATGAAAGTAAATTAATGTATTTTTGTCTAAATATAATATTTATTATAAACTAGTCGCAACACGTATCACGGAGTGTAGTTAAAATTTTACATTCAATAATTATACATTAAATTTAACTAGAAAAGAAATGTGTTTTTTTATAAAGTTTTAATGTTAGATAAAGAGTTGCTACTGTTATTTTTTGTTGAACCCCAATTTTGCCATTGTAAATGTTTATTGCTCAGAAAAAGCTGAACTAGCAGGTACACTTAATAAAAATGAAATTCACGAAAAAACATTTGGAGTATTTTTATAGCAGTTTAAAATAACTTTATTTTTATGTGCTTAAACTTAAAATAAATTATTTTTCATTTGAAATCTGCATCATCTTAACTAATTACATTAAAACCGCCTAAAATATCTTTAAACGCTTGCTGTAGCTGCAAAAATTTGTTTGGTTTCCTTTTGTTTGTTTGGAAAATTGAACATATGTAATCAAATATTTTTGACAACTGCACACATTTGTATCTGTGACGTGTTAAAGGTGGGTTATTCCACGATACAGGTCTCATCAGGCTCATTGTGCATCCTCCTAAGTAGATAGGCACTTTCTTACTCGTGAGCCAGTCTACAGATTTAATGTAGTTGACAAAGTCGCCAAGAGGTGCTTCTCTTATATCGGCCTATGTTAGCCACTTCTCGCCGAACAAAAACCTTCTAATAAATGAGAGCGTCGGGCAATCGTAGAGGATATGCATCTTCTTGTTAGCACCCCCTGCAGAGTGCAAATTCTGACAAATTTTATAGTTGTCATTGTCCAGTCAGAATGTCTGCGATCAAGCGCAGGTTCTGTCTAGTCATAGTTCTCTGTAGTGTTATTAGGATAACTTCCTTGCAAGTCTGCAGCTTCTTGTTTTATCCCATCTTTTCTCGAATTTCATGAGGGAATGTTTTTTAATTAGGCCTGTCACTACAATACGAATAAAACCGCGACGTATAGAAAATTCTTGGACTAAAAAAATATGTTACAATTATCGTTTATGTTACACATTATAGTTTAACTTAATTTTAAGGAAAAATTATGTTACAATTCCATAATTATGTTACAAGTGGCAACACTGACTACATATCACTCACTGAAAATACTCTATACATTACACAATACCATTGTTGCAACTATTTTTTTAAGAGATCGTACAAGTAGAGTAGAAAAATGGTATATTAACCAATTTTTCGACAAAAAAATCGTACAACAGATGTATGTATAGCATAATTTACTTTAAACGGAACGAAAAAATAAAAAACGTTGGCATGATAATTTATTTATCTGTTATTTATAACATGTTTTTACAACGAAAAGAAAACTAAAGAAAATACATGAAGCTTTAAATTAACCCATTTAAACTAATCAATTATTATTACTGTCACTTGAAAGTGATCAAAATTTTGCATACAAGCTTTTGTTACGAACAGCGTATGAATCTATGCAAATTGTTTTTATTTTTATTGTTTTGAATTAATTTAGTTGTTGCAGATTTTTAAATGAACCTGCTAAAAAGAAAAAGATCTTATTTTTACGTACGATCTCACTGATGCGATAGTACATCGTACAGAGAGTTAAAAAATCGTATAAATACGATTTCAATCGTATATACACACTGCACAATACACATACGCATGAGTAGAAATAAGAAATTATTATATTTGTGTGCAATCCTCCATCAGCCTTATCAAGTAGTTAGGTGTGTATAGGAAATTTGTTGTAAATGTTGCAGGTGATATAATAAAAAAAATAGATATAATCGACTACTACTATGATCGGCTACGGTAGCGCAGGTGTCTACGGCGTCGCATTCATTTGCGAGCCAATTTTTTGGTAAACGAGACACGGTTTCGAATACTACGGAAGACCATGTGAATTTATTTGCATGGTTCTCTATAGGATTTGATGGATGCCGAAATTTAATTTCTGTTGATATGACATCCAGATTATTAAAAATCACCATGATTTACCATTTTCAATGATGGTGGGTGGGGTTTTCCGAGTTTTCCTCACCTGTAAGTCAAATGGCACCATCAATCATCTTTAAGTCGCCCCGGAGTGCCACGGCAAATAATAATAATAGCCGTCTCTTTCCCCAGACAAGCTCAGCTTTTGGGGTTAAAATTCACTCGTAAGGGGGTGAATTAGGGAGAGTATTATTATTATTATTATAAATAAATGTACCAGTAAGCTTTTAATTTAAATAAACCTAAATGTATACATATTATTTACTTCTGTCTACTAGTTTATTGCAAAATGAAAATATGCCTATGAGGTGAATTATATTTAAACGTAATATATTATACACTAACTATTATCTACAAAAAAAAAAAAACGTGAAAAATATAAAAATAGTAGATGTTAAACGTTTAAGAAATTAACCAAGACCAAATTTAAACAAGAATATTATTAACAAAAAATACATGATATTATTATATAAATGTATACGAATTTAATTTAAATAAACATAAATGTATATGTAAGTATAAATCGTTCATCGCAAACTAAAAATAGTTGTATATTGTTAATTATTTTTAAACGTAGAATAATTTACCATTATATACCAAAGGACGTAAAAATAACGTAAAACATAATTTAACAAATTATTTAAAAAACAGTATGTATAATATTCTTAGACTGTAAACGTATGCGGATTCAACCAATTCCAAATTTAAACCAGAATTACTTATAAAATACGTTAAGTACAATAATTTGTGCTGCCTGGATAATCTTAAAATATTTTATCCTTCGTTTGTATATACGATAAAAATCTGTTTTTTTAATTAAAATAAATCCTTTTTAAAAACTCTTTTTTTGCGTTCTCCAATCGTTCTCTTAAAAATGTTTTTGTTTACGGTACATATCTATTCACGACTGGAATCTAATAGTAAAAAAAAATCATGATTCAAAATAATCATCAAAACTGTTATTAGGGTCTATTCTGTAACAATTCCTTTATATTTAACGGCCTTTAAATATATTTTCTTTTTTACTTCTGTCATTATTTAAACGGATCTTTAAAATACATTAGAGGACTATCTTAAAGAAATCTGTTTAAATAATGACAGAAGTAAATTAACGAATACGAACATATTTTTAAAGGCCGCCAATATTTTTAAAGGCCGTTAAATATAAAGGAATTGTTACAGAATAGACCCCATTATATATCTAAGGCAGAGGGTGTCAACTTCGATTCTCGAATGTAGACCTTGTTTCTCAGCCTTCTCAAAAAAAAATTACTTAATTTTATGGATGAACATAAATTTGTGTCATCATTAAATTTGTATAAATTTGGTGCCAAATAAAAAACCTTACCAGACGACAACTTGAGAAGTGTAACAGCAAGATGAAGTCCATTGTAAGTAAAAATAATGTATTATTGTTTATCGAACTATAATTTAAATAAAAAAAAAAACAAAAACAATTGCATTATCAAATTTATTGTGCTTGAATATAAACTTTTTACAATTGCAATTTTATAATTATTATTGTTTAGATCCAAAGAAGCCTTTTTTTGATGCTTGGCTACATATTTTGTTACATATGGTATTTCTTTTGCTATTTTATTAAAAGATTTTACTTTTAATCTTCTTATTTACAATCTAAACACAATTTTATGATCTGTGAATTCTGCGTAAATGCCTAAGACATGCATTCATAAATTGTTCTAATCCAGACATTTTTTAATATAAAATAAATAATTTCTATATAAAAAAACAAAATTACTTGCCATAATAAAATAGAAAATTGAATTATTGCTTAATAATATTAAATGACAAACAACTATCATTTTTCTCGTCATTTCTTAATCTTTAAACGAACTTCATTTCCTTTTAATTTTTTAAAAATGTTACCTTTAATATTTTTTACTGGTAGGCATCTTCTATTTATTTGCTTTAAATAATATTATCTTTCTTCAATGTGTTTCTTCCACATCTCATATTTAGTATGCTCCATCATTTTCAGTTACTTTATATTTCTTCAATAACCTCGTATATTTTCGCATTTGTATGATTGTATGTTGTATTATACTTGTATTATGCTGGTATTATACATTTATAGGTAATACCATTTTCTTCAAAGTGTAGTTTAAACGAAACTAATTATTTTTGTTCTGTGTTTGTTGTCAGTTGTTCATTAGAACAAAACAGTGAATAGTTGTGTGGAGGAAACCTAATTGGACATTAGAATAAATTTTTATTTATTGTATTAATAAAAGAAAAACATATTATGTAGAATAATTTTATTAATACCTTAATGCCTATACTTATTTGTAAAATATTTTTAAAAATCAATGACCTGAATAGGTATAGCAGAGGTCAAAAATGTAATTCTGATTTTCACAATTTCGATAACATCAAAGAGAAGCGTGAAAAGGACCGTATTGGTTAGCAATACATATTATATATTCATTAACGATTAATTTTGTATGTAAACATTTTAAATTTCAAATTTCCTAAGTGGCTTAATATAATAAAAAATATTTATTTTATGACTGATAATGAAATTCAAGGCAGAGTAATAAAAAAGACTAATGATGATCGAGCAATACAAATTTAATTAATCAAATAATCTTATTTAAATAAGATGAAAGGTCAAGTTTAACTTTTCTTCCTCTAATTCAAACCTAATATAATTTTGGGGTTATGTTCAAATACTTACTGATTATATAGTGCATTCAAAAAGTAATGCATACATTCATTTTTGACGTTAATATTAATTTTTAAGATAAATCGGAAACAAGTCTATTTTGTTTTTAAAACAAAACTCTGCCATAACAAGTTTACCTCTTACGTCAACCCCCTCACGTCGTCTAAGCAGAGATGTATTCAGATTATAGTCGCGTGTGCAAAATTACAAGTTTTAATTAAGTTATATATCAAAGATTTGTTTCAATAAATAATCCTTGACCATAAATTCTTATTTTCAGATTCTTCTTTCCGCGTTGGTAACAGTAGCACTAGCAGGTACCCTCCCCGAAAAAGTTATCCCCATCCTCTACCAAGCATCTGAAATTAGCATTAACGGACGATACAGTTCTTTATTCGAAACCGGCAACGGCATCATATCTGAAGAATATGGAACTCTAAAAAACGCTGGAACTCAAAATGAAGCACAAGAAGTAGTTGGTAGAGTAGCATTCCAATCACCCGAAGGCATTCCAATCTTATTAGAATATACCGCTAATGAATATGGATTCCAAGCTAAAGGAGATCATCTTCCAGTACCTCCCGTAGATACTAACACTCCTCCACCAATCCCACCTGCAATTCTAAGAGCCTTAGAGTACAACGCTGCTCATCCTGAAGAAGATGATTCTCTGCAACACCAGGCACAGGGCCAATTCAGGCCCTAGGCTAGAATGCTGAATGACTGAGCTTCTTTATTTATATTAAATAAACGTTACTATTTTATATGATGTTTTATTTAAATTTTCTGAAAAATCTTTTTGAAGGTTCGGGATAGAGCTAGATATTAAAATTATGAATAGCATTACTTGAAAAGAAACAAAAACTACATTACTTTACTAAATTTATTCATAATTCAATGTGAATCTTACTGTATATATTAATCATTAAAATAAACAAATTTTTCTCAAAATAGGAAACTTACATTAATTTATTTCAAAATGTATCCAATACGGTCCTAAATAAATGTATAACGATTACCAGAACTCAACCACACACATTTTTTTGTTTTTACTTCTAGTGGTAACATCCATATCATAGAGGTGGAATTCCTTCTTTTAAGGTATTATCCATGATATTTTAGGTTCTTAACGTTTTGCCCAACACCTTTTTCACAATCTATCCGATGTAACACTATGAAATATTTAAATCCTGGGTTTACAGCATCTTTCAGTTTTGAGATTGATGAGGAAAATGCCGTCACAATGCAGTTTCAGAGATATTTTTACATATCTTATTTACGCCAGAACAAACGCCTGTACCTACTCATGTAACATAAAAATAAACTGGAAATAAATTGGATAATTTGGTATATAAAATAGCACAAAATGTTTTTAGTTTTTATTCCACTAGATGGAGAAAACCACAAAAGAGAAAAACATTGGTTCATTCCACTTGTACCACATTGACATTGTAAACGTTTAAAGAAGACTGTTTTTATAATAATTACTGCAGGACAAACGATAATCGTGGATTTAGGCCAAAGAAGTATAGAGGGTAGAACGGGTAGAATTATAAGGTACCATCTGCGCATCCATCACGAGTGTAGAAATCATAGATATATTAATAAGTAAGATAAACCGTTTAAATGCACGGCACTGATATCAAGTTTAGTTCCTTAGCGTACTATTTGGAGCCAATTTCCATAAACTTTCACGATATTAGAGTTATTTCAAACATCTAACTTTGATTTTGTCAAGCTCCATACCATCCATACAATGGCATACTATTGCATACTATTACTGGGATATTTTAAAGAGAGGTTTAACAACTAAATATGTTGACAACCTCGTAGCTTATCGGACCAACACAAGGAGTTAGTCATGACTTTCATGGGTAATATTATCAACTGTTTTTATTCTGTATCACAACCCAATGCTTCTCCTACAGGTCCAGCAGGAATTTAAAATTTTTTCTCTCAGTCAGGTCTAATGGAGTACTCTGAATATTCAGTGTACTAATTATCTATTATTATGCTCTTCAATCCATTAACCATTATTCAATGGAACATTCGCTCTTTTAACTCAAACATAGATAATCTAAAGATCCTAATCCAGACATAATCCTACTCAATGAAACTTGGATGAAGGAAGATTATAGGTTAAGGTGTAGAGGTTACCAAACATTGAGAAATGATAGATTGGATGGCTATGGAGGTATAGCCTGTTTAATTAAAAACAATTTAGATTTTCAGCCTCTTCTAATAGATTACTCTCTAGATCTTCCAACTCAAGTTAAAGCCATCTATCTTCCCCACTGCCAATTAAATTTAGTGAATATTTATTGCCTAGGAGATTTCTTTATTTCCAAAAACAATTGGACTAACTTTATTCAGACATTTAACAAACCTCTTTTGATTATGGGGCACTTACATTGTAATTATGTGTGTTGGGGAAGCTCCTCAAATAGCTCAAACGGTAAAAATATAATAATTTCTTTAGATTCTTTACAATTAGTGTTTTTAACATGTTATAAATTTGATTTCCAATCCCAATTCACCTCCATTCCTATCGTAAACGTTGGCGGTACTAAATCTTAAAGTATAGGAATCGTACAATATCAGAATATCATCAGGAAATACCCATCTTACACCAAGTTCTTTACCGATGGCTCAATAGACTCTTCCGGTCACTCAGGGTTTGGAGTATATAGTCCAGATATAGATTATGCATTCTCAAGTAAGCTTCCTCTCCATACTCAAATTTGTACAGCTGAAGTTGTAGCTATCAACAAGGCCTTGCAAGTAATATTAGATTCAATCCATTATCCTCTCAGACTCCAAAGCTGCACTTCAAAAAATAGCAAGATCATGCTTTTCCAGGGAAACTGAACATTGTTCCTTCTTGACTAAGGAAGGTATCTTACTCGCAAAAGATGAACATATCAAAATAATTCTGGCATGGATTCCAGGCCACTCTGGGATTCTGGGTAACTTCAAGGTAGATCAATTGGCAAATATAGGAAGACCTCTGAATATTCCAGTGAATATCAAATCAAACTATCATAATTTCTTTTCATTCATCAGAAACATTGTGAATTCAAGATGGCTTGAAGAATGGAATAGCCTCAAGAGTAGGAAGAATTTCTTTTATTCTAAAGTCGATCCACGATTTGATAAAATCCCTTGGTTTTTAAATTTTCCCTACAAGGACAGAAGACATTTAACTACAATAATTAGGATGAGGACAGGACATTGCCTATCCCCATATCACTTATTTTGTATAGGAGTAAAAGATGATCCATTTTGTGAGTGTGGTCAAATTGACTCATTATATTACATTATCTTTGAATATCTCATAAATATGATGGCAAACTTGGATTTATACTCTGAACTGGCAAAAATCAAGCTTTCTACTCCCTTTGACATTTGTTTTACATTGGCTTACCTTAATAATAGCAGATTCTAATCAAAATTTTAAATATATTTAAAATTTAATTATAACCCTAATGCTATATCCTCTCTTTCAGTCCTAGGTGCTCCTTCTATTTACCGTTGGCAGTTTTCTGGTTGTATTCAGCTTGGCGACTGCCTCCAAGCGAGAAAAGTTTTTAGCCTGTGTTGTGACGTCTATGTACTAACTTTGTATGCCCCTCTACGTATATAACTCAAGTAGTAACATTAATAAGCTTTTTACTTTGAAATATATAAATATATCAATTTAATAGAGGGTATCCAATTGCTGAGAGCAAGACAAGGATACTCTCCCCGTTGTTGGCTGGGTAAATTATTCTGTGGGATATAGCCCAATAAAGGAAGAAGAAGATGAAATAGTAGTTAGTGTAAAATGCGGGAATTATTGAAGGAATAGCTAAAACAAAACATTAATATAAACTTACTTGTGCTTTTAATTTTAATCGATATCTTTAAACACGTATAAACAAATGAATATGGATATATGGATGAGCGACCTACACAACAATACTACAGATCACTCTCTGAAAACACTATACATTACCCAATACACATACGCATGAGTAGAAATAAGAAAAGATTATACGAATATGCAATCCTCCATCAACCTTATCAAGTAGTAACGTGTGTATAGAAAATTTGTTATAAATGTTACAATTGATATAAAAAAAATGGATATAATGTAAATAAATATACCAGTAAGCTTTTAATTTAACTAAACCTAAATGTATACATATACAGGGTAGCTGTTAAAGATGGAACCAAACCTATAGTGCTTAAACGGTTCATTATAGAAAACCCAAAATTTCAGAATTTTAACTAAATATTTGCGCATATTTTAGCCCAAAAATTATTTTTTTTATAATTACAAAATTTTAAGCATGGTCGCAATCTGATTTTTTTAAATAGCAACATAGGTCATGTGATATACTATTTGAAAGGGTTTAACACCCTGATTACAAAAATGTATCATACATAGGGTCTAAATACAACAGAAAGGATATTATTATTAGGGAGCGTAGGAGGGTGTGCATTTGACACAAGACACCATGTGTGATACATTTTTGTAATCAGGGTGTTAAACCCTTTCAAATGGTATATCATATGACCTATGTTGCTATTTAAAAAAATGAAGATGGCGGGCATGCTTAAAATTTTGTAATTATAAAAAAAAATTTGGGTTTTCTATAATGAACCGTTTAAGCACTATATAGGTTTGGTTCCATCTTTAACAGCTACCCTGTATATTTACTTACGTCTGCTAGTTTATCGCAAACTGAAAATATGCCTATAAGATGAATTATATTTAAACGTAGTGTATTATACAATAACTAGTATCTACAAAGAAACGTATAGTATAAAAATAGATGTTAAACGTTTAAGAAATTAACCAAGACGAAACAAAAACAAGAATACTATTAATTAAAAACACATTGTAATATTATATAAATGTATACGAATTTAATTTAAATAAACCTAAATGTATATGTAGGTCCACTGTTTATAAATCGTTATATTTAAATGTAGAATAATTTACAATTATATACCATAGGACGTATAATGTGCTGCATGTATAATCTTAAAATATTTTATCATTCGTTTGTATAGTCGATAAAAATCTGTTTTTTAATTAAAATAAATCCTTTTTAAAAACGCTTTTTTGCGTTTTTGCGTTCTCCAACCGTTTCTCAAGTTTTGCGGAAACTATGAGATATCACCACGGAACCCCAGAATTTCACGAAACACATTTTAAGAAATGTTGAATATTCTCTTACTACTAACATGAGAAAGCACCATTATTTACTCCATTCCTCTAATGAGAAGTAATATTTCTCACCCTAGGTAAATAATGATAATAAAAAAACACCTAGGTAAATAATGAAACTAAATTTCATTAATTTCATTTTGTTAATTTGACAACTAAACTCCCAGACTACTTGATATTTTGAAATATTTGAAAAATAAGTAGGAAATAACTAAAGCTGGGCTTATCAAATCTAATCAAATCAAATAATATGATAATATATATCAGTGTAAACAGTAAAAATATATATTAACTAGGAAATTCAACACCGGCAATAGGCTTCAAAAATTATTAATTAATACCAATAAATCCATGACATTAAAATATCAAAAATGCAATGGGATATTTCTTAGAATCATACCAAAATTAGATTAGATTAGAAACACGCTTCAGTCTGCTTGATATTTCGAAATATTTAACAAATTGTTCGGAAATTACTTATGTCAAAACTAAAATTGCTAATATATTAATGTTAGTAGTAAAAAAATTCTATATATACCTCGGCTGAGAAAGCTATTATTTACCTCGGTAAATAATAGCTCACTTCTCACCCTAGGTATATAATGTACTATTTTGTTAACGGCACATATCTGATAAAAAATGTTTTATCTATTCACGAATGGAGTCTTATAGTCAAAACGAATCATGATTCGAAATACTCATCATAACTCTTATTATCTACAGTTAGGTGCTGTAAATCATATAACTCATTATCAAACCTTTTAAATCTCGATATTTTTTCTTGTTCCTTGTCATCGTTTACTAAGACTTTAAACAAATTCTTTTTAGACCATACAATTTAAATACGTTCTATTATTATTGATTTTGAAATAGTTTAATTGAAATTTTTCTATCTAATGTTATGCTAATAGTGAATACTGTTCCTGGGTTCGCCCCGTTTTGTATTCTTTATTAAAATAAATAAATATATAAATAAATAAATCTAAGGCAGAGGGTGTCAATTTCGATTCTCGAACGACGACCTTGTTTCTCAGCCTTCTCCAAAAAAATTTGCTTAATTTTATGAATGAACATAAATTTGTGTCATCATAAAATCTGTATAAATTTGGTGCCAAATAAAAAACTTTACCAGACGACAACTTGAGAAGTGTAACAGCAAGATGAAGTCCATTGTAAGTAAAAATAATGTATTATCGAACTATGATTTAAATTAAAGAAAAAAAAATCAATTGCATCATTAATTTTATTGTGCTTGAATATAAACTTTTTGTAATTGCAATTTTATAATTATTATTGTTCAGATACTTAGAAACATTTTTTGATGCTTGGCTACATATTTTGTTATATATGGTATTTCTTTTGCTATACATTTAATTGAAAGATTTTTTGTTTTAATCTTCTTATTTATAATCTAAACACAATTTTAGGATTTGTGAATTCTGTATAAATGTCTAAGACATGCATTCACAAACTGTTCTAATACAGACATTTTTTAGTATAAAATAAAGTAGATATGATTACATTTCTATAAAAAACAAAATTACTTACTATAATAAAATTGAAAATTGAATTATTGCTTAATAATATTAAATGACAAACAACTATCATTTTCCCCGTCATTTCTTAATCTTTAAACGAACTTCATTTCCTTTTAATTTTTTAAAAATGTTACATTTATTATTTTTTACTGACCTTGTAGGTACCTTCTATTTATTTGCTTTAAATAATAATATCTTTCTTCAATGAGAAAAAGACTACAGTGCTTATTTTCTTCCACAACTCATATTTAATATACTTCTTCATTTTCTATATATTTCTTCAATAACCTCGCATATTTTCGCGCTTTTATAATTGTATGTTGTATTATACTTTTATTATGCTGGTATTATATATTTATAAGTAATACCATTTTCTTCAAAATATATTTTAAACGTTTTGTTTTTGCTGTCAATGGTTCATTAGATCAAAACAGTGAATAGTTGAGTGGAGGAAACCTACTTGGACATTAAAATTAATTTTTATATATTATATTAAAACAAAAAAAACCGGCTACGGTGAAATTCGGATCACATAACCACAAATCCAACGGTTCAAACTCTAATCACTGAGCCACACACCACATAATTCAACATTTTTACCTTAAAAAAAAACTCACTAGAGTCACTTGACTCACTAGACAATTTTTGGCAAAATGTCAACATTTTACAGCATTTAGATAGTGAATCTAGAAAATACTTCTTTCTTTTTTAGGCTTGTAACATTTCGTTGTTAATTGATTATTGCATTTAATGTTTTTTCCTATTCTCTTTTAAATAAATTTTTCTTGTATACAATTAGAGAGAGTATTATTATTATTATTATTATTATTATTATTATTATTATTATTATTATTATTATTATTATTATTATTATTATTATTAATTATTGTCGTTTATCACATTTAACTAAATAATTTTTTCGTCAATTTTTATATTTGGGAGTTCTAAATTCTTTATTCTTTTTTTTTTTTGGTCGATTTCTGTCCTTATCAATACATTTATAGGTCTTTTGTTTCCTTATTGTTTTTATAAGTATAAAAACCGTTATCATAGATAGGTAGTTCTTGTACAATGAAATTGTAAAATGTTTTTTCTAACATACTAAATAGAATAATTTTATTAATACCTTAATACCTATACGTACTTATCACAAATTGACATTATTTGTAAAATATTTTTGAAAATCAATGACCTGATAGATATAGTAGAGCTCAAAAATGTAATTCCGACATCAAAGAGGAGAGTAAAAAGGGCCGGATTGGTAGGCAATACATATTATATATTCATTAACGATTAATTTTGTATGTACACATTATATGTTTTAAATTTCAAAATTTCCAAGTGGTTTAATAAATTAAAAAATATTTATTTTATGATTGATAATGAAATTCAAGGCAGAGTAATAAAAAAGACTAATGATGATCGTAGCAATACAAATTTAATTAAACAAATAATCTTATAAGTTTAACGTTTCTTCCTTTAATTCTAACCTAATATAATTCTGGGTTTATGTTCAAATACATACTGACTATATAGTGCGTTCACAAAGTAACGCATACATTAATTTTTGACCTTAATATTCATTTTTAAGATAAATCTGAAACAAGTCTATTTTTGTTTTTAAAACAAAAGTCTGTCGTAACAATTTTACCCTTTACGTCAACCCCCTTAGGTCGTCTAAGCAGAGTCGTATTCAGATTATAGTCGCGTGTGCAAAATTACAAGTTTTAATTAAGTTATATACCAAAGATTTGTTTCAATAAATCCATCACTATAAATTCTTATTTGCAGATTCTCCTTTCCGCGTTGGTATCAGTAGCACTAGCAGGCACCCTTCCCGAAAAAGTTATCCCCATCCTCAGACAAGAATCTGAAGTTGGAATTGACGGACGATACAGTTCTTCATTCGAAACCGGCAACGGCATCATATCTGAAGAATATGGAACTTTAAAAAACCCTGGAACTCAAAATGAAGCAGCAGAAGTAGTTGGTAGAACAGGATACCAGTCACCTGAAGGCTTTCCAATAGTTTTGGAGTATATCGCTAATGAATTTGGATTCCAACCTAAAGGAGATCATCTTCCAGTACCCCCCGTAGATACTAACACTCCTCCACCAATCCCACCAGCAATTCTAAGATCCTTAGAGTACAACGCTGCTCATCCTGAAGAAGATGATTCTGTGCAACACCAACACCCGGTTCAGGGCCAATTCAGGTTTTAGGCTGAACTGTTGAATGAATGAGTTTCTTTATTTATAAAAAATAAACGTTAATAATTTATATGATATTTTATTTAAATCTTCTGAAAAATCTTTCTAAAGAATTCTGGTTGGAGCTAGATATTAAAATGAGAAATAGCATTTCTTAAAAATAGAAAAAACTACATTACTTTACTAAATTAATTCATAATTCAATGTGACCATACTTAAGTTGATACTTTTTTAACCGTGTATGTAAGTAATTAAAATAAACAAATGTATCCAGTACGGTCTCCTGCATAACCGTATAACTCTCGTCGAAAAATGTAGATTAAATTCACGTCGTTGTAGAACAATTCCCAAAACAACTCTGTAGGGGAAATGTTCAAGTTAAATGTTAAAGAGATACATTTGATTTTCCCAGCTGAGTTACACCATTATTGCATCAAATTTTAAACGTTTATTTCACTTATAAAAATAAATAATACATATAGCAAAATATTTTATTGTAGGAATTAAAAAATTAGTTTTAAAATGTAACTATACTGATATTTACGGCTTAATTACAGATTCTCCACTGTTGACAGACATTTTTGAGGCTAGCCTAAAGCAGACAAATGAAAAACTGTATGTCATTAATACATCAAGTACTTGACTATTTCATATCTACCATAAAGATATGCGCTGCGCTCTAGGAATAAGCAAGTGAAATAACTTTACGCCATTCTAGCATTATACAAGAGGGAAGATTTAGAAGTCGATGGGTGGGCTGAACACAAAAATTCTTGATTATGAACTTCACCACTATTGTTCTTACCTGGAACGCGTTCAGATGCTTTACACGGTAGTAAAATAATTTTCTTAGATCTTTTGCCCCCTTTGCCCAAAATTTCTGGAGGGTAACGAATTTGAAAATTAAATTTTCTTTTAGTTGTTTACTGACATTTTACAGATGTTTCTCACTACGTTATTACTAGTGTATGTTTTTTTTTAATTTCAATATTTACCTTATCACATGCCTATTTATGGCTGAACTTCTGTCTAATGTGCTTCGAGCATATATATTTCATAGAGCCCGCATTCAATAGCATTTGTTTAGGTTAGAAGGGGAAATGTGTAGACACTATTACCAGTGTCGTATCATTTTTACAGGGTGTGCAATTAATATAAATAATAAATTTGATACATACCTTCAAAATTCTTTAAATTATGCCATATTTTATAAACTTGCATTATTTAAGTATGTATCTAGTAATAGTAAATTATTAATAATATTATTATTTGTGTTGTACCTATCAGATTTTTTTAATTAAAACATCAGAAAGTGTATAACGGAAAAGTGAAGGTTGAAATAATAGGCAAGAAAAAAGATAAAAAGCTTATATTTAAATATCAAATATATAAATAAACAGTAGGTATATTATACAAATATTTATGATATCTCTTAACACACGTGAATTACAATACAATAATGTTTTCCAATCATTTATTAAATATAAAAATATTGTTCGTAAACAATGTTTAATAGATTACTAAACGATATACTATAAATAGAAATCAAGCTAATACTTAGGTACATTTGCACTGCCAGTCGTTAACAAATAAGTGAAGCTTAATTTTCATTGGAAAACTATCTTAAGCTTCGATTATTTATTAATGACTAGGAGTGCAAATAAAAGAAGCTTAATATGATTTTTTTATTGAAAAAACCCACATTAGGTTTTGGTTATTTCTTAACGACTAGCAGTGTACTTAATTAAAGAACATAGGTACATTTAATAAAAACTAATTATTGTCACTTTTTTGGTTTATAAAAATATAGGTAGTAATAGGTATTTGAAAATAAAATTTATGTTGTATTAAGAAGAACTTAGTTACTTACATGTTTTCTAAATCTGCATTTTCTTTTTCTGCAACAGAGGATTCACATCACCACTGAAAAATTAAAAATTTTAATCGATTAACCTACAAGAAAAGAGAAAGGTTTTTTTACCTTTTAGATTTCTTCTGGGGCCTCAGTAACTCTTCATGGCAATGCACCTGGAATTAATCTAGTCCTTCCTTCGCGTTCAGTCTTTGACATAAACACATATCCAGAAAAATGATGGGAACAAAATTTTTTCTGGAGTAAGTTTCAATATGTTTCACCAAATGCGGTTTTCGGCAGGATTAGTTGGAAACCTACAAAAACAAAAATTATTGATTTAACATCTTCAACATTATCATGATAAAATGGCTTGAAAACAAAAAGCTTGTTTATATTGAAAAATTATGATTAATTTTTTTTAACTTTTCAATAGAGTCCAAAATCTAAAACAATATTGCTCATACATAATAAAGTTCTTTAAATTTAATTCAATAAATTTACCATTTATTTTAAATTATATTTAACGGCCTTTAGCATAAAATGTTGGTACTTATGTTTCTTTTAAAAACATGGTAGAGCGCTAATGGTTACTTACTTGTGAAATGACCTTGACGATGCTTTTTCATAGTTCTATTTAAAACTTGCACAAACTCTCACCATTTTTAAAATCAAATGACAGATCTGACATTTTCGAACGATTTGACATGCCAAGCAAAACGAAACAGACCAATGGGAATGCTAGACACTATTTTTCTCCCCTGTACCAAGACAAAGTCCATTTGGACGATGGTTCTAGTAATATATGCTCGAAGCTAAGAACTCATATTGTATACGCATATTTAAAGCTTATGAATTTTTTATATTTGTCAAAACAATAACTTTTTTAGGGGTGGTATAGTTGAGATTTCTTACCTTCAAAATGGAGTTTAAGAAATTCAAACGTGGACAAATGCTCCATGCGAAAATTGTAATTTTTGATATGATTTGTTATTTAGTCAATAACGAACCATAAATTGAGTGTGACTGCAGCGGTAAGTCGTGCTTCCAAAAAGAGGGGTCAGTGAAAAAACAATTTATACAATCAAGAAAGAGGAGAAACAAAAGATTGGCGAATTCAAATCTGCTTCAAGAAGAAAAAAGCGGATAAGTCAGTCAAATTCGCTTATTGAGAGGATTTGTGCACAATCTTTTTTTGACGTTCGGCCAGCTTTGAATGCAATTTATAATATTATTCGAGGAATGAAAATTTACCATCGTGCCCTTTAATGACCCTATGTAGATTAATGAAAGATATTGGTTTTGAATATGTGAAGCGTGGTTGTAAAAGTATAATGTTAGAACGCAATGACATCATTCATTGGCAGCACAGGTATTTAAGAGCCATCAAACAGTATCGCCAATAAAATTGTAACCTATTTAGATAAGACTTGGGTCAACGTGGGTCAAACGGTAAACTATGCATGGTGTGATAACACCATAAAAAATCGTAGATATGTTTTTATAAAGAGTTTAACCACAGGCCTCAAAGCACCTGCACAAAGAGGTCCATGTTTCGTTATTGTTCATGCAGGATACGATGCAGGTGGATTTTTACCTGGCACCGCGCGTGTTTTCTTGGAAAAGAAAAATGATAGCGATTATCATGACGAAATTAACGTTGACTATTTTGAGCAATGGTTTGAGGAGACGCTGATTCCTATCTTACCTAAAAATGGAAGAAAGAACCGTCTTGTCTAATTTCTATGATTCTTTTCTGTTAGAAAGGAGGTACTTCCGGGGTGGTCCTATATAAATTTGGTCAAAATCTACTAATTGGGTCCATGATGAAATCCTCAAACTCTTTATTTGTTATGTATCTTTAGCGATAATTCTTTACCGTCTTGTCTGATTTCTATGATTCTTCACGATTTTGAAGTCGGTTTTTAAAATGACTCTTAATAATTGTTATTGATTGCTTATATCGGCCTGTCCAGCTAAATTTAGTGATGGTTGATCCCGATGTTTTCACAAATCAGTTTGGAGTTGATCTCATATATTCAAATACTTGATCAAAGGAACAGTTCCGGATACCAATCCCAATGCGAAATGAAACAACGCTATACAGAGTAGATACTTTCTAAAGCAAATCCGATATAGGAGATGCTAAAGAAGGAAAATTCTTTAAAAATATACGATAATATCCAATCATCCCCAACAAACGACGAACCTGTGTCGCAGTTTTTGGTGTTGGAAATTCACAAATAGCAGATACCTTTCCAGGATCTGTTCTCAATCCATGCTCATACACAGTGGCGGCTCGTGGTGTGGTTCACAGTGATAGAAAATAGGTATCAGTACAGATGTATGAAATAATTTTCAGTGTTTTAGAAAGTTTATAATATACCTTTCTAAAATACTGACAGTTTTTTGCCTATATCTGTACCGGAATCTATATTCTGCTACTGTGAACCCCCAAAATTTTGGTCACAAACTGCCCCTGCTCATACACCAGATAACCCAAATACTTTAATGATGGACGACAAAATTGATATTTCTCTATATTTAATTTCTCAAAAACTTTATTTAAGGTATCAATATATTTCTTAAAATTGGGCTTACAAATAATTAAATCATCAAGATAAAAAAACGAAAATAATTCTAAGGAAGCTCCTATAACTATATCCATCAACCTAACTGTGGAGCCCTGACTAACACAAAAGGCATAGTGACATAACAGCAAACTAAAAATAGTCATATATTATTAACTATATTTAAATGTAGAATAATTTACAATTATATACCATAGGACGTGTAAAAAAAACGTATAATATAATATACAGTACTTATTATTTTGTATTAGGCATAGCCGCGCTTTTACAGCGAATATGTGGCAACAACGATAACCCCGCTATCGCTATATTCTCTGGTTTAGTCACTGATATTCGGTTCGGCTAATATCCCGGCTGTTGCCCTGTTGTTATTTTATTAACACTAGTATATAAAAATAAGCACTGTAACATTTGAAGAACGGTATCTATAATAATTTTAGACTGTAAACGTATACAGAATCAACTAATAACAAATTTAAACTAGAAATTATACTAATGTGCGCTGTCTGGGCACTCTTAAAATATTTTATCCTTTGTTTGTATGATATACCAGGTGTTCAAA